AATGAGGAAGAAGTGAACTGCATGTTTGTTCAAATCTATACACACTAGCCTTACCTGGCAGGTGGGGGAAAATGAAAGCAGTACCCTTCGCTCCCTTCCAAAGAAGGCAGAAGCGGGTTAAGAAGAAGCCTGTGTCTTGGAGCGGGAAACAGCTCAACTGTCTGCAAGACAGCTTTCACTCACAGCCAAAGAAGGGAACTAAACCACCAAATTTTGACAAAGTCCGAGGTTGAAAGCAGCGAAGCAACTGCGAAGACCACCACGGTGATGTAGAACAGAAAAAATATCACCTTAATTCTGTGCCAAAGAGGCAGCAAATTCTGGAGCACGCCAGTTGCATACTTGTCGCTAGAATCAGAACGATGACATGATCACTGGCTACAGTATGCCACCCATGAAACTGACAAGAATCAATGGCCGCAGTTCCCAAATGAAGAAAACGCAAGTGAGGTAGCTCCAACCCGTGTCGACGGAAAAGGGATCACAGCAACCACGGAAACCCAAATGGCCACACACACACACATAGACAGACTCAACACTCTAAGAAATTTCAACTTGCTGCAGGTCCTGCTAAATTTAGCTCACAAACTCATAAGAAGAAATTGCACACCTGCAATCCAATCCCTTAAATTCCCCCTAACACATGATGATAGACGCCCATATAGTTTATTGTCCCAAATGTATGCTTGCTACTTTCGCGTGGTGTTTCAAATGCGGGAAAACATTTTTCACCGAGCTTCAAATGTATGACTCACCTTCTCCAAAATTGGCCGCACATTGCTTGGCCTGGAAAAACCCGCGTCACACCACAGGCCGCGTAGCCCCACCCTGGACTAGCGACATGTTTCCACCCTCCAGCATTCACACGTTGCAATGGCAAATGACAGGCACGTACATGAAATCAACACAATATATAGATAGATAGATAGATAGATAGATAGATAGATAGATAGATAGATAGATAGATAGATAGATAGATAGATAGATAGATAGATAGATTAGGTAGATAGGTAGATAGGTAGATAGGTAGATAGATAGATAGATAGATAGATAGAGAGAAAGATAGATAGATAGATCGATCGATCGATAGATAGATAGATAGATAGATAGAAAGATAGATAGATAGTTAGATAGATAGAGAGATAGAGAGATAGAGAGATAGATAGATAGATAGATAGAGAGAGAGATATATATATATACACGTATACAAATACATATATCAGCGAAGGATTGATTTCCCATTGTCATGTTTGATTACCAGAGTGTAGCGGAACAAGGCAAGTTCGGAATAGTTCGGATGATCCCTCTCGAAAACTGGGATCCACGGTGCAAAGCGAAGGATTTTCCACAAACGTATGCTCAACATCAGCGCGACTCAATTCTATTTGGATGCGAGCGAAGACAACATTCCCGGAGACACATGCATTCTTGAAAGGCCAAAAACTGTTTATATTTCAAGTCGAACACTAGCATTGCTTTACGCATATAAAGGCCAAAAGGGCAATCAACACATCCCACAAAACAGCAACCACATCTTGCGCGCCAAGAACGCTGTTAAGGCTCGCACCAATTTCCCGCGAATGTAATTTCCTCAGAATCGCATAGAGATAAACATGGAAACGTCCAAAAATGAAAGCAGTAATGTAACATGATTCACAAACATCATGATCATCATATTTTGTTTTTGAGCAACAAACAGGTAGATTCAACCCATCCTTCGGGTCAAAATGGTACACAAGTTCGGGCTCCAATCCGCACGAGCGAGGATATCCTCCACAAAACATGGTTTTTCAACGAAACATTCGGGTGAAAGAATGATGTGAAACTTCCAAGTTCTTTGAGGGACCCTTGGCATTCCGCAACACTCAAGTCTGTCACTGACCAACACAGGCACTGGTTCACTCTTTAAACACCGCTCGTCAGCGCAAGCCAGCTTCTTGCCGTAATAGTTTGCTTATTAGTATAAACAGGCTTGGCATGTTTGTTTTTGAAGAGTTTGTTGTAGGGTTTTTTGTAAAGTTTTTCCAAAGAATTGATGTTAAATTCAAAATTCTGCTTATTCATCTACATAGCATCTCCTACATCTTTTAACGTCACCTACATCATCTATATCAACTTCAGCTACATCACTTACATCATCTATACATCTCCTACATCTCTCCTAGAAGCTTCACATCACCGACATCATCTATAACCTCACCTACATCACATACATCATCTACACATCTAAACTTCATCTACGCCTTAAACATCATCTACATCTCCTACATGTCTCCCGCATCATTTACTTCACCTACTTCATCTAGATCAACTTCATCTACATCACATACATCCTCTGTACATTTACATCAACTTTTCATCCTCATCACATACATCACCTACGTCAGTTGTCACACAGGAGTTGTGACACATGAGTTGCACAGGCCTCGCTACACAGGAGTTAGCTACATCATCATACATCAGTTGTTACACAGGAGTTGGTTTACACAGGGGCTTTGACACAGGAGTTGTTGCACAGCAGTTAGTTTCCTAGTGATTTATTTGTATCTGAACTCCTTCAGCGCTCTTACTTCTGAAGATTCTATATTTTCTCTTTTGACAGCAGGGCAGCCGCTCAGCCAGGGCGTGGCTTCCGAACGTGACCCTCTACGAGATTGTGCGTGTCGGACGCCCAGACATGGTGAAATGCAAATTTTGTTTGTGCCGCAAAACACCGTCCGCGGGGATTGTGCGTGTAGGACGCCCAAACATATGTTAAAATGCGATTGCATTTGTTCGTGGGCAACCTTTTGCAGCGATCCGGGCACCCAAACGTGTGCTGAAATGCGAATTCTGTTTGTCCTTGGGCAACTGCGGAAATCGTACCGGGGGCTGACGAACGTGTGGTGAAATGCGAATGTGTATGTGCTGGAGCGACCCTCTGTGGGGATTTTTTTTCCGTGTGAGATATTCTCTCTTTGTAAAAGCCTTTGTGTCTCAAAGCATCTGTGTGTGAAAGTTTCTGTGTGTAAAAGTTGTTTTGTGTAAAGGCTTCTCTGTGTAAAATGGTCTCCGCGTAAAAAGTTGCTATTCAAAATTTCTCTGTGTAAGAGCTTCTCTGTGTAAAGGTGTCTATGTGCCAAAACCTCGCTATGTAAAGCCTTCTTTGTGTAAGAGTTTCCCTGTGTAAAAGCTTCTCGTGCAAAAGCGTCTGTGTGTAAAAGCACCTATATGTAAGCACTATTGCGTGCAAAAGCATGTGTCTAAAATCTGCTCCATGTAAAATCTGCTCTGTGTAAAAGCTTCTCTGTGTAAAAGCTTCTGTGTGTAAAAGCTTCCCTCGGTAAAAGCTCCTTTGTGTAATGGCGTCTGTGTGTAAATGCTTCTGTGTGCAAAAGCTTTTGTGTGTAAAAGTTGCTCTGCGTAAAGGCCCCTCTGTGTGTAAAGGCTTCTGTGTGTAAAGGCTTCTGTGCTTCCATGTGTCAAAGCTCCTCTATATAAAGGCTTCTCTGTAAAAGCCTCTGTGTGTAAAGGCTTCTCTGTGTAGAAGCTTCTCTGTGTAAAGGCTTCTGTGTAAACGCTCCTGTGTGTAAGCACTTTTTTGTGCAAAAGCTTCTGTGTGTAAAAGCCGCCCTATGGCCCTATGGCAAGGAATCTCTGTGTAAATCATCTCTGTGCAAGCGTTTTTTTTTGCGTAAAGTGCTTTGTATGTAAAAGTATCTGTGTGCAAAAGCATCTGTGTGTAAAAGCTTCTCTGTGTTTTTTTCCGTGTAAGCCCGCCTGCGTAAAGGCACCTGTTTGTGAAAAAGCTTCCGGGTGGAAAAGCATCTGTGTGTAAAGGCTTCTCTGTGAAAAAGCTTCTCTGTGTAAAAGCTTCTCTTTGCAAAAGCTTCTCCTGCACAAGCATCTGTGCGTAAAAGCAGCGATGTGTAAGCACTAACGTGTGCAAAAGCATCTGTCTAAAATCTGCTCCATGTAAAATGCGTTCTGTGTAAAAGCTTCTTTGTGTAAAGGCCTCTGTGTGTAAGAGCTTCTTTGTGGAAAGGCATCTGTGTGTATTTCGTCTGTGCATAAAAGCTTCTGTGTGTAAAAATTGCTCTGTGTAAAGGCCCCTCTGTGTGTAAAGCTTCTCTGGGTAAAAGCTGTGCTGTGTGTAAAGGCACCATCTCTCGGGATTATGACTGTCACTCAGGCGCCAGAACCTCCTGGGGGACAAACAGAGCATCGAACTGTGGAAATATGGCATTTGACCTACATCATCACCTACATCGTCATTCTCCATCCTCGTCATCTTCATCACCACCACCACCACCAGCATCATAATCATCACCATCATTACCGTCATCACCATCATCACCATCATCATCATCATTCATCCTCATGTTTTATTGTGATTTCTCTTCTTGTCTCCTCCCTCCTGCTTTCTTTGGAGCCACACTGTCGTCTAGTTTGTTTCATTGCATTCAACTCTTCTCGTGCTGCTGCTTTATGTTCACTTTTTTTCCACTGGTTGGTGGTGCCATCCTCTTTCGAAAAAAAAACTCGTCATTGGGAATCATCATCCCAAATATTGCTGAACATTAAAACGAAGTCTTAAGCTTACAACCTGAATCATGATTGATCACATATATGGGAATATTTTTTATATTTCCGTGCGAATATATATATATATGTGAAAAAACACACACATTACATCCCTGTGTTAGATATTGTAAGACCGTTAGGTAACCATGTTGGTTAAATACCCATCACTTCGGTAAATCACATGTGCCATGATATGTCATGATCCATCTTGGATGGATAAGATACCACAACTAGCCGCTACTGGCGGTTTAGTGCGGGCGCATTTGCTATCAAAGGCCTGCCGGCCAAGGCAAAGATCCAGTGGATTGACGTCACCTTGTAATCACACACGGCTATGGGAAAGCACCATTGTTGATGGGTGAGTCATGTACAAATGAGCCATGGTCCATACCTAGGTTACATTCCAAGAGGGTGAGCTACTTACTTCGTGTAAGAATTTAAAGCGCCAAAATCTTCCTCACAAACCTCCTTCACGCTCAGGAGATATTGCACATGGTTGGAATGGTAAGCGCAAGAATAGCACTCCTGTCTTGGATGGCTACAGTCCCATCCACGTTTCATACAGTCATACACATGCAGGCGCAACCAAGCTTCATATAGGGTGTAGATCGAGCGATAAGCAGTGCCGTAGCGCTTCCAAACCCAAATGCGGTCCTGTCAATGAAAATTGTGGCGTTCCGGTCAGCCAGTGAGGTCGTCATGACTACTTGAAAATCAAGCAACTTGCGATCTTGTGTAAAAAATGTCGCGCTGAGCATTGTCGCGCCAAACCCATGGGTGTATATAAAAAAACGATCGATCGATCGATCGATCGATAGATAGATAGATAGGTAGGTAGATAGATAGATAGATAGGTAGACAGATAGATAGCTAGATAGACAGAGAGAGAGATATATTTATATATATATATATGCAAACATGGATGCTACCCATGTAGGGGTGATATAGGGATTGTATAATATATAATATACAGTAAGGGTTCTATCCCAACTTACAGGTCCCAGTCCTCCAGTTCCTCTTGCTCTTCTGCGATAAAATACCTGGGGACAGATGCTTTGGGGATCTTGGAGCTTGGAGTCAGACCCAAAAGATCTATCAACAAAAACCGGACAGAACTGGAATACACCAAAAAAAGTGGACTGGCTTTCCAGCAAACATATACTTGTCGATGCATGGGTACTTCAAAGTTGATTGCCACATCGCAGTGCGTTGAGGTGCAATGACAGCTTTATTATTAATTTGTTTTCTAAAGGGAATCAATTAAGTCAAATTGGCCAACCTGAGATTTTCCAAAATTAGAGATGGACCCTAAGTTTTATTACTTGGGGTATGCATGGATGGAGTGAAGCAGGGGATGCATGGATGGACACATGTATCCATGTGCGCCCGTACACACGTATAATCATGTAGATGCATGTAAAGGTGTAAAAGGTGTATGAAGGTAAATGCATATGTATCTAGGCGTGTGTGCGTGTGAGTGTCAAACCCTGTCTAAGGAAACCCAATCTTTCTGCATCAAAATAACAATCGGACAACGCATGGGGAATATATAATATATATATATACATATAGATACATTTTCTGTACATATACATATATAGATATATATATACATATGCAAATATATATATATATAAACATTTACATATATATATATACATACATATACATATATCATATATATAGAGATATATACATACATATATATACATATATATATATAGACACATACATATATATATACATACATACATTACATACATATATACATATATACACATAATTTTACATATATCATATATATATATATATAGATATTCATTATTACAGGTTAGGATCTTCAGATTTCAATGGATACCACCATCAAAAGTATGGGGGGTTGAATTCAATTCTTTCCGGTCTCCCACCTCTGCAGCCTGGACGGGAGTGCTGACCCCATTTACAAAGTCGTGCGGCACTCTTACCCTACCACACGCAACGAAGCTGTGGAAAGGGAATCTTGGCCAACACATCTGTTGTAAGTTGCGACCATAGGTTTGATGACTTTGTTGATGATGCAGTACGCAACCCCCTCACCACTTGAGGATGGATACAAGTGTGTTTCGGCCAGATACTGTCAAAGAGCTGGTCGTGACCGGGGGCGCCCGGCTGTTTCCATCGGTTTTTCCGGTATCCAGTTTTCATAGCGGTTTGATCCGGTACGGTACTTTCTGGGGTTCCACTGCAGCTGGTCTCCAGTCTTCAATTTCATCCAACGCTATACTCCAACGCAGACACTTTCCACCAGTGTTCAACGTTCACTGGTTCAAGACCCTGAAAGTTGATGGTAAGCAAGATGCAAGAGATTCCACGTTTACATGACGCCCTTGAACCTGCATACGCAACAACAATGAGTGATTCAGGCAAACCACCCTTGAACCTAGCGTAAGGCCCAAGCTGTCTACTTCTGTGTTTCGCAGTAGCAAATGTAGCCAGCAGAATTGCAAGAAGTTTTCCAAGACAAGGACACAAAGCTTCCGAAGCTTTCAATAAAAAAACAATTTTGAATAAAAAAAAACAGCTGTCTCTTTCCCTCCAGCTTCCTCTTCACTGTCTTGGTCCTCCTCAATCAAGCCTTTCCCTTCTAGCTGCCTCTTCAAGTTCTGATCCAATCGAAGATATTGAGCGTTGTTCCGAAAGAAGCAAATAGCATCATCAATGGGTCAGAGCCCACAAAGGGTTGGAGCCCCAATGAAAACCGCTGGCACTTCACCAGTGGCTTCGCATTATCCACAGAGCTCGTCAAACTTGTCTGCGACCATGCGACCAACAAGAATCGGAGAATGGCTATATAGCCCCTTGTTATTTAGATATATGTAGGTGTATTATGTGAAGAGGACGTGTACGCGCATGAGAAGGGGATTGCTATTGCGAACGCATGTGTATGTGTATGTGCATGTATGCCATTCATGTACCTATGCATGTGTATATATATATATACACATATTTCTGCACTTATTTTTGAAAATAATAAACATAATAAAAATAATAATAATAATAATATATAATATGTATAATATATAATGTATATATATATATTTAGATGCATCTACACATGCATGCATAATATATCTATCTATCTATCTATCCATCCATCCATCCATCCATCCATATATCTATATGCAATATCCATAGACTATAGACAAGCACGCACACACACACGTATATATATATATATATACACACATATACATACATCTACACATACCATACCATCACATTGCAATACATTACATTACACATATATGTATATGTAGATATATATATGTATATATATATATATGTGTGAATATATATATGTATATATATATATGTATATATATGTATATATATATGTATATATAAATATATTCATATGCGTGTATACAGTACTGTAATTACATGCAAAGAGAGAGAGGGAGAGAGAGAGAGAGAGAGAGAGAGAGGGAGAGAGAGAGAGACAAAAAAACAAAAGAGAGAGGGGAATACAACTACGTGCATATTAACGCACTGAGTGGGAATCTTTTCAAAAGCAAGAACAGGAACACCACATGCACAAACCATCAGCCAAAACTCCTTCCAAGCCCCTGTCTTCCCTTGGCCTTATGGTAGATACACATTGATGACCCAAACATCTGGACCTGCTCCATCTCAGGCTGTTGAATCAACAGCTGTTTTGCTGGAAAGGTCTGTGTCGTGGTTCTCCAATCGCAACAAACTTCGCGCGATTTCAAGAGCACATGACATGATGGCATCCCTTCAACCGTTCTGAATATATTTTTGTGATTTTTGGTTGCTATTTGGTGAGTAAAGGGTGTTGCCCGGATACCTTGCATTACTACCCATATAATTTGACTCAACCATGTCCATCGGATATGCATACCAAGTAGATATATACACACACACATATATATATATATATATACCAATATATGTATAAATAGGCCGGGTCTCGCTTCAACAAGTACTGAATCTCAAGCAAATACCCCACAAGGAATTCATTCCATATAAACATGCTAACACATGAGCGGCTGGTGGTTTCAACCCACCTGAACATAGTAATCATTGGCGATCATCATCCACATATTGTTAAAACATGTTGAACATAAATTACATTTATTCTTAAACCAGCAGCCAGATCGTCCCTACCATCCGTCCGGCCCAACCAGCTGATAGATCGGGTGGCTGAAGCAGCCTCCCAACCAGCAATCCACCTTTGTTCCGAAATTTGATGAGATCTGCAAATGTTGGATGTGTAGTGCCGGCCCACAGCAACAAAGGATAACAAAGGTACTACCCTCTGTAACATGGCTATGAAAAATGGGACAGCGTGTGGAGTGGTATGAAGCGATTAATCAGCTAGTACCTTCTGGCAGTTTAACAGCAGCTATTGAACATCACCATCTTAGAATCTTTAATGGGTAAACCGGCAAACCATCCATAAATAAGCAATGTTCATCCAAAAACTGTGGCTGCCTGCGATCTTACTTGAGCTCAACCTGAAACAGAAATCATGATGCCAAATCGTGTAAAGTGCAAACTGTGCTGCTAACATGATTTTGTCAATCCAATTCGTAAAAATGATAGCTGCTAGCTAAGTTTCAAATATCGTTGAATATCGTTGACTCAAACAACACACAGACTCCCAACTCCCAGGTTCCCAGATCTATGTCAAGTCACTCATGGACATGATGACACCAAGCAGGACCATGGACCACGCCAAGGTAGGAAGAAACGCATGGCAGGCTTTCAGCAACAAACGTAGACCTCGAAACAGCCTGGCCGCGACGGCAAGCGGGGCTCGGCCAATGATCAATGGATGATTTTTTGTAAACAAATGTCTGAGACATGTTGAAACCATGGTTTTGGCCAGCAACACAAAAGGGTTTCCTGCACAATGACCCATCATGATCCGCCAAGTCTGGTGAGCTAGGGATGAGCAGAGAAATTCATACCCTTTTGGGGGTCTTTAGGGCCCAGAAGGGAATATCCTGTTTGAAGTAGCTGGAAGTAGACGAATCACTACAGCAATCTATATGCCGAAGATTTTCCTGGAAGCAATGCTCAAGAAACAAAACAACCACTGCGGTCTGAAATGCATTTGCAATGCTGTACACAAACCCACACAGAGATGTATATAAATATACGCACACACACACACATATATTATATACATGTTTGTAGTCCTGCTCTTTTTGTCAGAACTTGGTTCAAACACTTTCCAACGACAAACGATAGCCGGATCCATGTGAACTAGCCCAAAGCTAGGATTAATTAACTTTTCTAGTTTCTATTCATGGTAGGTATTCCCCAAATATGTCCACGTTTTTCCCATGGATTGTTATGGATCCAACAACGCCGTCAGCCATGGGTGCCCTGAGTGCCCTGGCCTCATGGCACGCATGATGCGAATCGTGCGCAGCGTGGCAATGGCACGGAAGACCGTTTCGCTGACATAGCTTGGAGGCGAACCAAACAAGGTGGCAAAGAAAATGTACCTCCACAACTATCAAAATGGCTGGGAAACTTCTGGTAGCTGGGTTAGTAGCCTCCCTGTTTCAAAAAGGGAATATCTGATGGGCGAATCTTAAGCACAACAAAGCCTTATTTTCGATTATGTTGGGTTTACCATTAGAACCCCATCATCAGCAATGAGGATGGGAAGAAACCTTATGGCATGGGAAGATCATGACTAAACGGAACACGCACACACACAAACAATAAATCTGTGTGGGGTCACTAGCATGGCGGATAGTTGGATCGGCTTCTCTAATCTAATCTAATTTACCACTGGGGGAGCCACATTGAAGGATAACTGGAGTTTCCAACAAAAAGTGAGGATATGTGGGATTTAACGCACCAGGAACAACACAGAAAAACAGCAAACATGGGACACAACTACGATGATTAGTTTGAACAACAAAAGTGCCGATTATAGCCAATTGTAGCGAACACAAGTCACATTCAAAACGACAAACATGGGGATATAACCCATCAACTTGGTGAACAAACTAATGGGAAGATATTATGTTCTGCGAGAATTACAAGGGTTCGATTCAAGCAACATCTGAAGGGCTGTTGACCACCCTCCGAAATGGAACTGAAATCTGTAGTTCCTATACATTCCCACCGCATATGCGTATTATTGGTATAAAACTGTATAAAACTGTATAACATGGTATAAACATGTATGAACCACAATTGGAAGTTGTGGGTGATGGGCATCTAACCGCGTCTCACCCCACATTGATTCCTTTTCCTCATGGGTGCCATCAACCGAGTCCAAGGTGCATATCAGCCAGACTGTTGAGGACAAGTACTGTGTCGAACCAGTTGGCAAATTGATGAAGAAACTCCTGAGTCATGGCACAGTCTACCTTTCGGGAGGTTCGTTGTTGATGCGGTTTTTCTCAAAACAAAGCTATATATATACTGTATAAGTTGATATAAGATGGGACCATGCCCATTTACAATCGCCTGGCACCAACGTTCTTCCGTGATGTCTGCTGCTGGTTTGAGACAATCAATCGATGGTCTTCATTCCAAATAGAGAGCTACCAACCATGGAAACCAACCAAATTTGCGATTGTATGCTTACTAACTTACAGCATTCCCCTGATTATATGATCTACCCACTGCTAAACCAACATAGCGAACTGGAAAATCACCATCTTTAAGTTCGGTAATTCAACATAAATCAACGAACTAAAATGGGCCATTGCTTCAATAGCAAACTGTAACAAATTACCAGAGGGTACTTACCTGATCCATTTTAGTTTCGGGAATCGGAGCGGCCAGTTCCCTCCCAACCACCATCTGATCTGAGGCACCCATCGATCGGCGTAGACGCGCAAGAGAAGCTCGATCAGAAACAAGACTTAGAGCATTGGGGTTGGAACAACTTTGTTTTTTGGTTCCTTCAATTAGTAACTTAGTAACTTCAACCATCATTTTTTCGGAGTTAGATTCAGAAAAAAACACCCTCTTTACCATCAAAATCCATCACATATACAGGTTTCCTCTACTTGTTTTTCCCTTTAATAACTTCAGATCAGTTGTGAGCATTATGAAAGCTGCCATTTCTGGGATTTGCTGATTCACTGTTCAATTGGTGATATAGAGATTCTTGCAAATACCCTACAGGGGAAATACTTTCAGGAGGAGGCTGAAATTTGAAAAGACCAGTAAGAGCATGAAGCAATACTTTCCAGGGAACGTTTCTGTAAGTATTTTCATACATGTATTTCCATGTATTTGCCAGATATACAGAAACACCTTTGATGAGCGGCCCTTTGATCAGTAATCTAGGTGATTGAATGCTTTATGTAAGGCAATTTGAATAGAACAAGAAATATTTGGATGAGATCATGAACAGTGGGGATAGAAAACAACCAACCTTAGAAGGAACCACCAAATCTATCCAAGTCAGAGAATAGTTCAACACAAACTCTGCATCACGCGGATAAGGCTTATTGAACCAGGAAATCATTGAACAAGTGTCAATTAATGTTCAAGACTCGGTAATGAAGAACATAAAACATATTGCAACCTTTTCAAGGAAGGCTGATCACAGACGGGCGAGATATCCACTGGGATTGTGCCAATGTTCAAACGCGCGCCCTAAATATCACGCTGATGCTGCTTTATTTGCCGAAGAGTGATGCATCAATGGCCAACTATTTGTCTCTATAACTACTAGTGGCGTTTCAATGTTCCCAAGGCCAGCAGGCTGGAGCTACTTGCAATCCTACAAGTATCTGCTTGATGGTTGAGCCACGTCGAGCCATAATGAGCCATACATTTCCGGCGAATCTGCAGTTATCCTTTCGCAGGGATAAATTTCCACTGATCGGAATGGGATGATCGAAGCCGCAGCCGGAGATTTCTATCTTTTTGGGCTTGCTCTTCATTTTCCTTTTTAAACCTGATACTACACTACACCCTATGGATCCGCATGCTACCTGAGGTACGGAAACCCCTAAATCACAATCCACATATTTCCTCAAAAGGTACTTGGCCATAGGGACATAAAGATCACTACGGTTTCTTCCAAATGCCCCCTGGATGGCCGCGAGCCCAGATGCAGCTGAACACCATCTCCGTCCATCTAATGGCCTGTACGAGGATGAAGATAAAAATGATCTACAAATGGTGCGTTTTCCACATCTCTATTGGTTTACCCCGGGGTAGTGCTTTAACCAACAAAAACATATTCCATCATATTCCCACCAGATTCCCCCAAATGAATCCCAATGATAGATTGACCACACGGAAACAAGAAACAACATGTGGCAACTCTAAGTTGTTCCCATGACGTGTTGTTTTTCTGAAGAAGGCACCCAAATAAATGCTTCATTCCTGTCGAATACAATAGATAAGTAGAAACATGATAGACAAAGAGAAAACGTTTTTGTCTTAGCATAAAAACAAATAAACACACACACACACGCAAATTATATATATGTATATATGAGTTACATGAGATTTTATGAATAAATAATGTGAACAACATGCACTGAATAACTAAATAAATAAACAAATCAAACATATTTACATGAAAAAACGTTTCTCTCAAGAAACAGGGGAAGCACAGAAACAGGGCAATGTTTCGGTGTTGTTTCCTGAGGTGACTGGGATCCCTCATGATCCAGTATCATCAAAATCCAATTGGTCCCATGAAGTCAATGGGAATTTCAGGCTCCTAAAATGAAGGTACGTTAGTACCATGTTTCTGGCCATATTTTGTGGTGATATTCCCTGAAATTTAGGCCTGAAACATAGGCCACACATATATGGTAGGCACCTCCAAGAAATCGGTTCCTGACATGGCCATGGATGAAGTTTCACTACATGTGGTACCCTCTGGTAAACGTTTACATAACTATGGAAAATCCACCCATTTTTCATGGGAAAATTCACTATTTCTATGACCATGTTCAATAGCAAACGGTTAGTTTACCAGAGGGTACACCCAATCATCCGGGGACACCATCCCTTGACATCTCCGCCAGGATGCCAGGAGAGGATGTGGCTGCAAGCCAGGGATCCCCATCTCCGCGCCCAGATTATCTAAGAGCGCGATGGTCCAATGTCGCAGGGAGGGATCTTTATGAAAAAAATGAGATCATATTACAGTAATATAATATAATGTTATACATATATATATATACATATGATTATATATGGAAAATGAATGGTATCTTTCTGAATGGAGACCATAAGCAAGAAGTAAAACAAACATAATGGGAAACAATAGGATTTCTGTTGATTTTATTAAGTTAACTTAACGGATCATATTCTGAGATAACGCCCCAGGACGGAATCGCGAAGTGGTTGAGCGGCCTTAACAAACTTAATCTGGGCGGCCACCTTGTAACATGTACAAGTGCATATGTGTTATTTCTTGCACACACACACACCTGCAAACACATGCATGTTTGCAAAGTACGTACAAATGTAGCTGAAACATGCCTATGTATATGTATATGTATGTCTATGCATGTGTATATAAATAAATATATATATATATATACATACAGTATGGCGGGAGAGACAGAGAGAGAAACATTCCGAACGGTTCTCGGTATGGATCAATTTCGGATTCAACAGCTGGGCCAATTCCGCGGTGTAACTCGTCCAAGCGTCGTCCTTCCCATTCCAGTTCCCAACACCTCAGGTCTTTTCCCGAAAGTGTCACCAGGATGTGGGGTGGACGTAAAACGCAGAATCTATATACACTGCCTGTGTAACAAGAAAGCCGGGCAGGGGATTCTCATGTAGCCCAAAAAATACTAAATGTATGACTGTAGCTGGAGCCCCGGGTGACAACTTCAAGCGTCACCCATAGATTGGTGAATGCTGCAGGGTCCTGGTTTTCAATGGGATAATTCGGAAAATTGGAACCCCAGGAAATGCAGGAGGATCAACTGGCACTCAGTTGGCACTAAGTGGATTATCAATAATTATCCTGAATTTCCGAAGTGGGTTTTTACCAAATCATGTCAGTAGCATATATCAAAACCTATAATAGCTGAGAACCCCATGTCCTCAGGTGAAGCATATTGGGCATCTGATTTCCAAGTCTCTGTTTCTTAAAGTCTAAAAGGCCTCCAAATATCTGGAGCATGTTCAACCCAAAACCTAAATTCAAATCTGAAAATCCTGTCCACTGCATATCTTCGCTGCAAAAACAAATGACTTTTCCAAGCCTAGGTCAAGTACTAGTACTAAGTACCCATGTTATGCGCCACGCTGGCCCCATGGTGCCCACCCACTGGTCCTGAACCATTGTTTGATCAACCTTCTGACCTCCAAACAAGTATGATGGTAGAAATTGTTGAAACCGTGATGAAACTTAGCTGGACAGGCCGGACATGACAAATTTCAACAAAAACGCATTTGGGATGATTCTGCAGAAACCTTCATGTGTTTTATATCCGGGAATTTCCCATAATGTGGTTAAAACAATAATAAACCATGATCATCCATGTTCCCAAATCACCACTTTTATGTGGTATGTTTAGGGTATCGGTTTTGGTGGGAGTTGATCGAATGTTTACCATTCCCATGGGATGAATCCGGGCGACATGAAGAAGAAGTTCAAGGTGACCAGCAACCCAGCCGCCGGGTCCAAGTGCCTAGGTGCGGTAACAGTCGGAACCGGCAACTCTTTCAGCTACGATATCTATAGAATGATAAGAAGAACATAAAACTGATAATTGGTAGCTATATTCATAGCAGCATGTTTTTGATTTATTATAAACATATATAAATATATACTGCATTGTCTGCTTTAAGAATAACCAAATAAGACATACACAATGACGGTGAAATAGTAACATAGATATATAACGTCAATAACATAGATATATGCATATATAAATATATATGTATAATTATATAATGCACGTATTTGCTTCAACACACATAAGTCAGACACGCACACACACATATATATATATATATATGTATGTATGTATGTAAGTATGTAAGTATGTAAATATGTAAGTATGTAAGTATGTATGTAAGTAAGTAAGTATGTCTGTCTGTCTGTCTGTCTGTCTGTATGTATGTATGTATGTATGTATCTGTGTATGTATCTATGTATGTATGTTTGTATGTATGTATGTATGTATGTATCTATGTATGTATGTATGTATGTATCATAATATGAAATAATATATACTCTCTCTCTCTCTATATATATATATATCCTTGCCGGAGAATCGCAAATCCATGAAACTTGAGATGCACCTCCTAATTGGTAATAGCCACACAACTACAAGCCAGGATTGGGATTTTGATGGGATGCTAATAGGATAGAAACATAAAGTGGGCAACCCAAGATATAACAAACCTACCATATGGGGATGATTTATACCACCCTTATATGGTGTTTTTTGGGATGGCTTCTTTTTTGGGTTACCACATTAATGGAGTTTTATGTGATTTGATGAGGCAAACTGTCAAGCCGAGCCACTTTCGCAGCCTTCCATCCGTTTTAAGTGCAGTGAGCGTTGATTGGTGCCGCAAATCCTCGTCCTGAAGCATTTCCCCGCCAGGGGAAACATTCAATTAATGTTGCGTGTTGGTCGGCTCTGATGTATGTGATGCATGCACTAATCCTCCAAGAAAGAGTTGACGAGCACAGATTCAAAGTAAACCCCAGTACTCATGGTAAAAGATTTTGTTTCATTTGCATTTGAGCCTACATTTGAGGGCAGAAAAGTGACATCAAGTGATGCCCCTGGTGTCATGACGTGAGCTGTTTTTTGATAGTGCAAGAATCTGGCGTCTTGTCGCTTGTCACTTCTGGGAAAGGCAAGTGAAAGCTCAAACATCTGCAGAATATAATATAGGGTATAATAGCTGGCTTCGCAGAACATTTACCGTCATGTTCAACAATGTGGTATGGTTTGGTATTAGGAACAGCCTCATCCTGTGCAAGATTTTGACGTCCAGCCACGGCAGCAAATTCAACTTACAAGCTATGACGCAACTAACTATGTACATGTATAAGAAAATACGCCACATATCATACAGGATGGGGTTGTGAGTTGGCTTACAAGCCATTATAAACATCAATAACTATAGTTTTATCTACCGTAAACCATAGAATTCAGCCACTTTTTTTAGGCAACTGAACGCCATCGACTGAGGGCCACATGGGGCCATATATCATATAAATGAATAACTTTCTGGGTGATGGATTCGGGCTGGCCCAGCTCAATGAGCTAAAGTTGGGCCATTCAAAGCACAAACAAAACACCAATGCTTGCCATTATTCAATCAAACAACCACGCTGCAACACATATGTTTGGATTTGTTTGGCCTGTTGTAATATATATATATATATATATGTGTGTGTTTTGACATGTGTTTATAAATGGTAAATATGTAAATATATATATATATATGTATGCAACCTTACTTAGCAGTATGGTATTTTATTCATATACAGATACAAAACCATATCATATAAATATTGGTTATATTCACCCCAGTCCGATAGCTGGGAAATCCTCTATAAATTGGAAGTTTTAATCGGATAATCATCGAATTTATAAATGGACGGTTTCCATCATGTTTGATTGCCGGGGGACATGTAAATGTAGTTACATACATGTATATATATATATATGTGTGTGTATGATCTATATAATATACACATTGTATATACAAAGTATCCCCCCCGAAAAAAGAAAGAACACGTTAACCTATCAACGTTTCAAAAAAACTTGTTCACCATTTGAGTGGCTATCTTCTTGGGGGCTGCTATAGATATATGATATATGATATATATATATAATACATATCACTGGGAATGTAAAGGAATGTGAAGGATTTCGCAACCAGCCACAGTATGTGTTCCTATGGTTTTCCTTTGGTCTCCTATTGTTTTCCTATGGTTTTCTAGGGGTGTCCCATGGTTTTCTAGGGGGGTCCTATGGTTTTCTAGGGGTTTCCTATGGTTTTCTAGGGGGTTCCTATGGTTTTGTAGGGGTTCCTATGGTTTTCGTATGGTTTTCCTATGGTTTCCTTTCCTATGGTTTTCTAAATGTTTCATATGGGTTTCCTATGGTTTTCCTATTGTTTTCTAGGGGTTTCCTATGGTTTTCCTAAGGTTTGCCTCATGATATTCCAAGAACATTCCAATGTTCGCAGTGTTTTTGTGCCCAGCTGCCATTGGAAGGAGTGTTGAGATCCCATGGGTAATCGCCTCGCTCCAACCTGGTGGATTCTTCACCAAAGGTCAGCGAAAACATCGGTGATTCGAAACAGAATGCACCATAGTGTAACATATTAAAAATATATAGTACCTATGGGTAAATAATAATTCTAACATAATAATAATGTAACATAGTAATTTGTACCTATAGGTATGATCATATTAAAACCAATTAAAATATCGTGAGCAGCAATTATTTCATATATTTTTGGGGAATTCGATTCGCGCAGTGGCTGAGGTGCTTATATACCAGCTATGCAGCTATTTCTTGAGGGAGTCCATGACGGCTTCCATGAAGAGAAACACTATGATACACCTGTCATGTGTTTGAAGTAAGAAAACTTACCGCAAAGGAACAAAACAAAGAGTGGCAGAATTGTTTGTTGAACTGTGGATGGACAGAGCCCAGTCAAACAGTTGGGATTCCTGTTGGGATTCCAGCAACACTGGGACTCTGGGCAGGGGGCTTTATCTGCCCCGGTTCGACAGATGTTCAACCATGTTCATATATTAAAACTGGTAGCAGCATAAACAAATCACAAAAAACATCGGAAAACATACGCACAAGAAAACAACACATATATTCAACATGATTCAACAATCATCAAAAATAACAAACAATCACATGCATTTTCCACATTCATGATATCAAAAACAACCCCCATCCATTCATATGGTGTCCAAATGTAGCACCTGCACCTATTGCAACATTGTCGGGTATCAGGTATGGAGCCTGCTAGTTTGGGCAAACTTACAGAGCAGCAAGACATCCAACCTCTGAAATCATCCGAAGATCTGAACATATGCCTCAAAATGTTTTGACTGGTTGGTGGTTTTAACATGTTTTAACCATCTTGAAAGATATGAGTCAACGGGAACATGGAAAAAATGTTTGAAACATTTGAGACCACCAACCATTTTAAGGATGTTTGGAGCCAAGTCACTGGGAGAACCAGAGCCACCATAGAGACTTGGAGACAGCTGTCGGAACAACTTGCTCCTGACGCCCTGGCGTCAGGTTGGAGGGATATCCCGTCACGGTATGTCACGGTCTCATGGTCCTTTTGGTTGATTCAACTACAAATACCTAGCGGACCTAGCCAAAACAATAGCTGCTTAGAACAGAGAAAAACACATGTTACCCAGTTTTGTTGGGCCGTGTGCCAGTAAAAAAATATATAATTTAGATATGTGCACGTAACATCACGTAATTAATTAAACTATACCTGTCAGCATTCACACGTTTCTTGATGGTTCCAGCGTTGGCACTTGGAATCTTTGGTCGACAGCTTTTAGTTGACTTGGATCGAGATTTCATGAGATTTCAATGCCAAAAGTCAGGGAATCTGATGTCAACCCCGGAGGGGGTACCGAACTTTAGCGGCACAGGATTGCTGCTCTGAGGGAAAGCCTTTTTTCCCATCGAGGGTTTGTGAATTCAAGGTTGGCATGATCAATCATTTTCAAAAGTCTTGCATAATTCTCCTGGGAGGTAGCAATAGTGCGTGGCAACTGGACAATGACTGATTAAATCCTTGCGATCAAATTGCCTAAGGGGTTGCTAACCACTGTTACTACCCATCAACCGTATATAGAGTATATAACAGTATATACTCCCTTTCAAAATCATCATCTAAATAGTAGTAGATTTTGGAACAAACTCCCTTCTAGAGAAGATTGTACCCACCCACTCCACTGAGCACAATCACTTAAAGATTGCCTCTGGTGAAGTGACGCGCTGGTCTGAAGGGCCACCAGCTGACATATGATATGCACATGGTGGAGGAAGTCATCATGAATGCCCACTTTTGATGTGGAAATTCAACTATAGTGCCGTCAACTCTTCCGTTGTCTGTTGTGACTCCCTACCAAAATCTACCAAAATGATTTGGAGCTGCTTCGTCTTTTTTCCCACGAAACATGAGTTGGCATTCATTTTACAGCTTGCCAAAAGTCCCAGAAGTGGAATGAAGCTTGAAAATTTCTAGATAAAAATCGACAAACTTCCGCCAATTCTGCAACATCAATTTTGTTGATGGGGCAAATCGCATCAAATTTCCGCCACTTCACTTTAACGACATCGGTGCCCCACCCCAGTTGCGTTATTTTATTTTTGTCGCCTCCGTGTCCAGAGAAGATTCACCTTGACCACTCACACTCACCTGGATCGCCCCAAAGAAGAAAACCATGGAAACCACCAAGAACTCTTGGATTTCTGCACAAAGCTACCATTTTTTACGTGGTTTCATCAACAATACTGTGAGTAAATAGTGATTGAACCAACATACGTGTTTAAAATTGTTTAACTGTATAAATGTCGACAATAAGTTTCTGTTAGTTTATCAATCCAGCAACTGTTGGATTCATGGTGCAGCACAGATGAATGGGTGAAACTAAATCAACTTAACACTGGGAGGACACATTGCGAGTGGGTAAAGGAACCTCTTGCAACAGGGATATACATTGTAGTTGTGCAATGTTATAAAGTTGACCAATGTTTGAAATTTAAAATTTAAAATGTTTGGTTGATATGTGATTTCAATATATTCACGTGTGTGTTCTTTTAGTAGGCGACCCAAGACATCGCAGGGACACCACTTGGGTTGCAAACCAGGTAGCAACCACGTGCTAAGTTCAAGAATTATTCAAAATGACTCGCTCAGATTCGAACCACTTGAGTTCAACAAAAGCTCTTGCGGATCTTGATTGGAGAGCTCCTATGGCACATGCGCTATTGGCCAAACCCATTGTGGATTGCTATTTCAATGGGCCATGATGAGTACGTTTACTATGTTTACTGCTGATCTTATACAAACCCCAAATCGTAACTTGTGAAACTGGCCATAGTTCATGGGTTGCAACCCACTTACTATACCCATTCAGCATCAGCTAACTAAACTAACCATGGCCCATGAAAGGGCTCAGCTGGGCATGTCCAGTGCAAGCGCTACTTCCCACCTCTCGCGATTCGCCCTTCTCATCTAAAGGCGGGGCCACGTCCTCCGGCAGTGGCCAAACTACTCAAGGGTTCGAGGTTTCTGCCACAAATCATCGTAGAATGGCAATTTCTTGTTGCAATCCACCTTAAATCATTAAATCCACCATTTTTCTTTAATAAATCCTAGTAGTTCACCATTTTCACTGGTAAAATCCAATGAAACATATCCTCTTGACTCGTGCACATCGTTCATGTGCTCATGAAACCAAAACATTGAATTTCTTAATCTTCGGGAGAATCATCAGCTCCGACTGAGGATTCCTTACTCAGTTGCTGAGTGCAAACAATGAAAAGGGTCTTGCAAGCATTCACTAAAAGTCGCAATAATCACAGAGTTCGTTGAAGTGAAATGTACAATCTTTTTGTGCTGTCCCATCCGCAGTCCAAAGCAACTGTTCCCCAACCAATTCTTGGAAAGAGCAAAAGCAACGGGTTGGGAGTTTCAACAAGTCCTCAAAATGTAACATCAAACTATTTATTCTATAAGGTGCCAAGATATCCCAGGTAGAATTTGTGAAACGACATATCGATGCCAGTTGATATGGGGTCAAAATGTTGCTACCCCAATCTTGACCCGACCCAGTGACCCACGCTCCTTGTCTGTCTTTGGAGGATCCTCGGTGTGAAAGCATGGCCGACAAACCCATCATGGCCAAAAGAAACAACCCAAAACGAGGACTGAAACCCGCAAATTCGGGATCCAACTACTTAACGATATAAATGTGACTGACCAACAACAAACGATCATAAACACACGATCGAAAACAACAAACAATCATAAACAAATAATTGCCTGGCCCGTGCCGGGGTGGAAGTTTCGAAAAACATATAAAACCACTACGGGAAGAACATGGCCTATAAAGATATTTTTAAGATGCAAAAACCATGAAGTGTTGAAGTTGTGAGGTGCATCAACCAATGAGCAAACGGTGGTTGAGATGCCAACGAAATGACATGAAAGAAACCATGCACAACTGCCTGAATGAATCAATAAATCGATGAATCAGTGAATGCATGAACAGTGAACATGAACAGTGAACCACTGAATCAATGAGTCAACGAATCAATGAATCACAATTCATGCAATGAATCGACGAACCAACGAAGCAATGAACGAACGAATGAATGGATGGATGAGTGAGATACTTAAAACAAAAAAAATCGTCACTGTGCGACCTCGCTGATTTTACACGGACTGTCTCTGAGAACTTGCTGATCCGGGTGTCGCCAGTTCCACAAGGTCAGGTCCTTGTGCCATATTTTTTTCCGCGTCGAAGAGTAAACCGTATTTATGTATAATATACATGTATATGTATATTATATGTATAAAAAAAGGAATAATATATATATATATATGTATACTATATATATATAGAGAGAGAGAGAGAAGCACCTATAACTTACAAGTACACGTGATGTTTCTTTGTCGATGGGGTCACAGCCCCGATCAGGCTTTGTCCATATATGGAGAGTTACAAGGAAGGCCTATCCCGTCCGATTCCTTGTATCCGCAGCCCGGCGATTCACCGTCTACTTCAAGGCACGTATTGCAAGTTCAGCAAACCTTGGTGTTTTGCTGATCTGTGAAATCAACATGGTGGAAGATGATAACATCACATAAAGATCTATCTAAGTCCAAACACATCCAGCATCCCGCAAAACGTAACATCTCAGAGAAAATGAGCAACACATAGAATTTAATCTAAACATGTCCGCCCCTAGTACCAATTGTTCACATGTCTTCCGTTATAACCCCCAAACACATATAACCTGTGGGGGCAATCATCGTTTTCCAGGAAACAATCTAGGAAATATGAATACATAATATAGTTTTTTGCGCAAAAAAAAACACATTACACAGATATGTTTACAAAAACATTTGAAAGTAGGACAAATGACTACAGCACACAATCATGCAGCACATGCACGATAACAATACTTGCTTTATAAAGTGAACTGCAACTAAGAAACATGGAAGCACAGCGTGAAAATCAAACAACCAACTCACCAACCCCCCAAATATACTAGGTCTGCCCCTGGCAAATCCATGTAAATCCAACTACACCCAAACACATCCTTCAAAGAATCCGTCAAGCATTGTGCACGTGACGTCACGTGACAATTCAATGTGATTCGCAAACCCAAGGCATAACCTAGTTATGTTCACCAACTTAGCATTCACGACGGGCACCCATCACCCGAATCACCCACCACACAAATATGTATATATATATATACATATGTAAATATATATATATATTATAAATATATATCTATCCCCACAAGGTGCTACACAGTGATTGGAGTTATTTGCACCAACCTAGCTATTGCTTGGAGGCAAAACCTTACGGTATATGGTTTATGGCAGTTATGGTCATCCATCTCATACTGGGAATTCTTACAATGGGCATCAGTGATAATACCATACATTGATCGTTTATCGATGACTATCCCATATACTTTCCCAACTGTAGAATGTTAGTAAGGCAATAGTTGAACCATCCCCAAATATACCACAAATATCCACATTTGTGGGTTGTATATGGTTGTATAAACATGTGAGCGCCCATGTATAAACCATCAATCAATCATCAATCCATATGGGTGGTAACCATGATTGCTTTACTGTCCCATTACTGTCCCCATCATATCCCAATGATCCCAATAAGTCAACCCAGCAACTGGTGCCACTCTCAGACCCTTTCATGGAGTCTTCTGACGCAACACCTATTACGCTCTCAGCGTCGTGGCCCATCGTGTACCTTGGGAGGGCAATTTTTAATGGGTTTCTTGGGAAAATCTGCGGTGGAAATATCTTGAAATCAGATGAAATGAATGTAAATCATACCCTCTGGTAAACTAACATAGCTATTGACAATGGCAATTTATAGTGGATTTACCCATCAAAAATGGTGATTTTCCATAGTTATGTTAGTTTACCAGAGGGTAGTTTTCATGGTTTTCACCCTGACATCTTGGATTCTCCCCATCCAATTCGGGAAAATTTGACTTCTCCTGAGAAGGCAAAATTGAAGACCCCAACCTACCAAGATCACGGGATGCTTGATTTTTTTGATGTTTCATTTCAAATCCCATGGGAAAATCATGTACCAAAGTGTTTCTTGGAATGATTTTTGGATGCGTTTTGATTGCCATTGGACATACAATCTACCACCCCAAATATCCCACATGCCCATTTCAATAAAGAACATTCAACACATTGAAACAACCAATGTATTTTGGGGTACTCTTTTTCCAAACAAAACCACTTGTATTTGAAGCTAATTTTATTCATTGCTTGTAGTAGTTCGTAAGGGACATGTAATCTTCAAAAAAAAATAGGAATCCTAAAAAACATACCCAATCGTAACTTGGCGTAAACCAAGCAGCGCTTAGCAGCGGGTAATCAATGTTGCAACCCCTCTACCACAGCTTTGCACATGCTGTATACAAAATACGGTAAATATATTGCAAATATATGGCGTCTGAAAATAGAGTACCCAGTTTACCCCAAAAACAAACATGTGTTCAAAACAGTGGCAGAGGTAGAAGGCACACGCTTTTCATCCGAGGCGAGCTGGCACAGGTAATGACGGGCAGCTGTTACACACGGCTGCGGATGTGGTCAACTCAAATTGCTGATGCTGGCATGCTCATGATCAGATCTAGTGAAATAACTTGACAGCACCCCAAGAAAGTTGTTGAGTTGACCTTCACCCAACAGACCAGAACTATCAGCTCTAAACTGCCGAGCTGCTCTCTTAGATCTGGCTTTGGATCTTGGATTCTCACGTCTTCTTGCAAGCTCATCTTCCTCATCCCACAGCGCTAAAGTGCCAGTGCGAAACAATTCTTCGAGAGCGCCGTTGCTCTTGCCGATGTCGTCTTTTGTGAGAACGTCTGCTATCATCCTTGGATGTGGCGACCAACGGAGCACTGACTTGGAACGCTGCATGGATTCGATGATGATGGCTATCTCGATGGATGTCCTCCTATCTTGCCTGGAAGTCGGGTTCTCCTTTTTCAAAGAGTCAAAGAGGGACTTCGCATCGGTGATGGTGCACTGCTCTTGCATGTCCTCGTGAATGTGAGTCCTTAGCTGAGATGAGTCCTTGAGCACTCCGATGAACGGGAGCACGGACTCAGTCCAGTCCTCGCGGTTGATGTTGCCATGCACGATGTCCATGAACATTACTTGAAGCCATTCAAGCTCACCAAGTGCCTGAGAGAAGGCAAGAGCCTCACTAGCTAGTGTTGATGTTACTCTTCTCTTGAGCTTAGCCGATCGCCAAGAGAGTATCGACACTTTCGTCTTGCTGGAGGCTGACGGCACTCGGTCGGCACACAGAATGATCCAAGCTCCTTGGACGGTGTCTTGCAGGTTGTCCAACTCACCGATAGGTTTGCCGTCAACGCCACCCGCATCAGATGCTGCGATGAACACCATGTCTCTGTTGTTGAACTTGTGTAGTACTAATGGTTGGCTGGCTGTCCCCCTCAGGTGAGAGATCAACTTGTTGAGGCAGCTGACATCGTGAACTGTGGCATTTTTCAAACGGCTGGCAAGAATGCTGACTATTCCTGCTGCTTCAGGACGTGTCTGGTGTGCCACCCAATTCACCTTGTACAGCATGGACCTAAAATCCTCAAACTCCTCGTGTGAGAGTTCGCTGGCCCGATCACTCAGTCGACCCTTAGCAAGTCTCACAGGATGCAGTTTCTCAAGGATGTACTTCTCCTGGTGCATGATGACCTTGTCGGGTCTAACTGAAACGTGACGGCCGGCGAAGTCGGCTGTTCCTTCTTCCCACTTGCCAAAGATAAATCTGGCCTTGAGGGCGGTCTGCAAGGTGTCAAGGTACTCAGGCGTGGCGGCCACGTTCAAGTCGTCAACCTCGATGAGGATCTGAGCGACGATCTTGCCGCGAACCCTTTTTACCAACCAGCATGGTTCCAAAAGTGATTTTTCGAAGCCCAGGCCCTGAAAGAAATTGATGAGAGTGCGATGCCATCTCAAAGGTGAGTCGTCCAAACCGTAGATGGGGGCTATGATTTCAATCAACCTCTCCTTTGGAATCTTGAGGCCGCTACATGGTACTGCGTACAGCTTCCCTTGAGGACGATCCAAGCGGTCTGCTTGGCAAAACGCATTCTGAATGTCAAGGAAGCAAACCAGTAACTGCTCGTTGATGGCTATCTGAAAAAAGAGAGTGATTGATTCACAGCTTGGCATGGGACTAAAAACCTGAAATGATCCGGACATGCTGTCAGGATCTTGATGGCCATGAAGGCACCATCTGGACTTGAACTTGAAATTTCCAACTCCTGGAACAGGCTTCTTTCTTCTGATCATTCGGCTCGTAATTACTCGCTCTGGTGAGTTAGCTATCACCTTGAGAGACTCTTCCTTGGAGAGCACCCTGACCGATCCCATACTCAAAATTGCTTCCCACTCCTTAAGGTCTGAAGCTTCAAAGCCTTTGATCTCTTGTGGGGTCGCTTGTTTCATGTCGAACTCCGAGTTCTTGGCCTTGGTGGGCTTAGCCAGAAAAGATGGTCTTTCTGAGTCCTGGCTGATAGACATCTCACAAAACGGCAAGGAGCCCTTCTCGAGAATGTCTTCCTTGCTTGGGCAAACATCAAAAAATGAGAGAAGGTCGTCATCTTGATCATCTGGAATCGGGGCGCTTTCTTCAAGGTCAACAGGTGTTGTACTGGGCCCTGAGACTGGCTGCGCTGCTGAAGAGGGCAAGGCTGCTGAAGAGGAGGAAGCTGCTGAGCCTCTTGACTGTTGACGTTCTTCTCGGTCCAGTCTCTTGAGAAAACGGAGCGCCTCTCTCTCAAACCTTTTTGATTCTAGATCAGCGACCCTTTGACGAACCTCAACTTGGGGTTCTGGAGGACCAGTGATGGTCTTTCGCCTCTTAGAGGAGTCAGTGCTGTCTGAGGCATCTGATGGCACTGGCTCCACGTTGGGTTCCTCCTGGGTAGCTTGAGAATGCTGCCTAGGGAAAGTTCTGGCTAGTTCTCTGGCACCTGGTGAGTCTCCCACGATTGGTTGTGGCAATATCTGTCTAATCATGCCATGTCCAATGTTGATCGCTTCATCTTCTGGCAAGGCGGGCAGGCGAGCTTGCTCAATTGTGGACTCTTGCTGTTGCTGTAAAACCCCCACATCGGGCAGAGCCGGTGACGCTTCTCCCTCTGGGACTGCCGGCTGTGACCAAGCATCTCGCTCCGGGGGGCCCTCGGCGGCGACATCCACCGCACCAGCCTGCTTGGACTTGGTCTGGTTGAGGATGTCCTCGAGGCCTTGCGCCTTGGTCAATTCGGCGCCCAAAGTCTCCAGATGACTAGCAGATCTCAGCTGGTCTGAAGAGCACTTCCAAATCCTGGCACGCATAGACACCCACACTGTGTTGCCCTGTTGCATAATAACAAGACCGGGACCAATCCACCTGGCACGAGTGGTATGTCCTCCTCCTGTGCCGGGAAACTTCCTCCACACGTAGACCCATTGATTGGGCGCCCACTGCTTCTGCTGGTGCATGTTGTGAGAAAGGCTCAATCTGACTCTGTCTTTCAAATTGGATGCAATGCAAAGCTCCCGGGCCCTTTGCCTGATGGCGTGAGCCCTTGCAAACTCAGCTGCTGGCCCATCGGCTTCGAAAGGATCCACTCCAGCATCATCTGCCCCGGCAATGATCATATGATCGTCTGACAAGAGCTCCAATGGAACTCGAGGGTTGACGCCAAAGACCAGTTGATATGGGGAGTATCCTCCTCGATGGAACCACCGGTTCTTGTGGGAGGTGACCAATTGGGCTAGAGTCTCAAGCTCAATGCTGGATCGCACAATGGTCTGGCCACTTTGTAGCTCCTCCTCCAATCTGGTCTTCAACCAAGACCCATGTCTCTCGGTCTTGCCGTTCTGCCATGGAGCTGCCCCATCTATGACTGCTTGAAAGGTTCCCACCTGCTCTAGACCTCTTTCAAAATGCCCCTTGAATTCCGAACCTTGATCGCAGATCAGGGTCTCGGGCAGGCCAAAAGGTTGAAGTCACAACTTGGAAAATAGGTTCCAAGTATCTCGAGCATTTGGAGGGCCACCTACGTAGCCTGGCAGCAACGCAACTTGCTGGAGGTTTGTGCCCATGCATATGACGTTCAAGAAGGCGTGAGTCTTTCCCAAAAATGAAATGAAAAAATAGTCGATGCCAACGAGCTTGTTGAACGTAAAGCTCTTTGGAAAAGTGGCCTTCTTGTGAGGAACTGGCTTCTGCTGCTTCATGCACTGCAAACAATGGAACTCGTTTTTCACAAAGTCTCTAACCTCATCTCGGGCCCCTGCGGCTTTGAGCATGGCCAACATTTGGGGCACTGGCAAGTGCCCAGTATTCACATGAAGTTTGTAGATGGTATCCTTCTGCTTGGTGGTTATCTTGGGTGTAGTGGACATTGCTGGCGAGGGTGTCTGTGGTGCTGAGACACTACTCTGGCCACTCTCTGCAATGTCATCCTCACCAAACCTTTGATCCTCATCTTCATCTTCAAAAACAGGTGCATTCCAACCATGAAATTCATGTGATCTGGCCCAACGGATTCCTTTCAGAAACGCATCTACCAGGAAATTCTTGCGCCTTGGCTGGTAACCCCCCTTGAAGTGGTTGATGTTGGTGATCACCCTGACAAAGAAGGCGTGATAGGTGGTACACTAAACCAACGTGATTTGTGACGATTGCCGTCGGTTTTTTGGAGAGCGTCCCATCTTCCACAACCGAAAGGCCGGCTGCGCACTGGTCAAAATTGAGCAGCCACACTCCAGGTTGACTGAGCAGCCACTGAAGAGCATGCGTCCTCAAGCTAGAGGCGGTGGCCGGCTGCTCGATCATAAAGTATCGCCCATGTTGTTGCTGATAGTCAGCCACCTGCAAACAAAACTGCCACATAGCCAAGCCCTGAGTGCGAAGTCTCTCGACTTCAAGTGGATTCATGCGTTCCCAATTCGAGCTCATCAAGATGCTGAAAGGCTTGCACTCCGGCGACATCAGCACCAGATCAGGTTCCTGAGTTCGAAGGCATTCCCAAAAGGCGGCTCTGTCAGCCGCATCAAAGAAATCCCAACCAGTCCGCTTGTCAAAGTTGGCTGGTTCAGTGAATGCTATGTCCTCGACTGAACGAGCCGACAACCTCGGCATGGAAAAAAGCTCGCACACTTTGAACTTCGTCTTGTCGCAAGCACCTCTGCTGACACCAGTTTCCATGGCGCCGGCATGAGCGGGATCCCGTGATGGGTGGCCGGTCCCGGGGCCGTTCCAGTGACATGTCACAAACCTACCACCTAGTTCACTAGACAACAGCTTGGCTACGCATGTTGGGCTTGAAGCCTCTTGGAGTCCTGTCGTCTCCTCCGTCTTTTGAAGTTCTTGCGTCTTCGCCGCATTATTGTTCTGTTCTTTTAAGGTTTCTTGGAGTCTTTCCGTCTCCTCCGGATCTTGTCCTTTCTTGAAACTTTCTTGAGGTCCTAGCGTCCTCCCCGCAGCACTAGACAAAATGCCTAAGTTGTGAAACTCCCCAGCTGTGCTTGGGTCGTGCATAGCCTCGGATGAATTCAACAGTTCCTGTACAGAGGAAAATAAGGTTCGTTTAATACGCCGTGGCACTTGGAATTCGTGATCGTCAAGATCAGCTGATCGTTTGAAATCATCAGACAAACAAGGGGAATACCAAACCGCAAAAATATTATCATCATCAGCTGGTTGCCACAAAAAGGAGCATGAAGTTTGTTGAAAGGAACTACAGTGAACCGCTTTACAAAATGGCAAAAGGAACCAACTGTTCCACTCAGAAGCCACCAAACTCGATGGACATGTTGAAGTATGGAAAGCGCCACCTGCTGGCAGGATCGATGCCAAGGTCAAGAAACTCAAAGCGACGGATCCACGGCTTCCCACTCGTTTGGATTGGTGAGCATCTCCTCGTCCTCCTCGTTGCGCTCCAAGTCCACCATGGGCGCTTGCCACGGTGGGGCCATTGGCATCTGCTGTGCGGCCATCTGCTGCTGCACAGCAAGGAGGTTCGGATTCATAGTCGAGGAGGCTGCCTGAGTTTGCATCACCGTGGTCACCTGGTGCTGCAGCTCTCGCTGCCCCTGAATCAGCTGGTGCATCAAGTCCTGCATCTCCTGGTGAGTGACATAGGGAGATGCCTTTGGCTTCGCCATGGCCTTGCTCACTTTGATAGCTGCCTGCTGCAACCTCTCTGTCGTGTCCTTGTCTTGGATGCTGTTCTTCGCAGCTTTGGACACCGTTCGAGGGTTGTCTTTGGAGTATGCCTCGAAGCTGAGCTTCGTTTTGCAAAGTGTGCACCTTTCCCAGCGGCCATACTGGTTGGCCCCCTTTGCCACAAACCCCTTGGGGTGTTGGCAGGAGACTGGTGCGACCAACATCGGCATCTTCAGGCTGAAGGGCCCCTTGGAGAGGTGAAGCAGCTTTGACACCATGGTGAACCACAGAGCCTGCCACTTCTCGGATTCCATCTGGCTTCGGTGCTTCCTCCCGACCCCCTGAGGTGAGGGCAAAGCCAATTCCATGGCTAGAAAGGGAGATCGAATTTGCGTAACAGGTCACAAGAAGTCTGAGCATGTCACAGCTGTCGAGGTGGCGGCCTCTGTGGTCAGTAAGTCGATCATACTGACTGATCACGAAAGACAAAAAACTGGTCCAAACTTCCTTACTTAGACAGTTCAGTTGGTTTGGAGTAATCATGAAAAAACAGCAGAAAGGTTCTGAAGACTGACATGTCGTGTCATGTGTGTGACATGAAATGCGGCCATGTGTGTCGTGACCTCTTGTGCATGTGTGCTCATCCATGTTGAAGTGCACTGACGGCTTCAGAAACCCTCTGCTTGCAAGCGAACTCTGGACTTTGTTGATGTTTGGCTCATCTACCCAAAGGATCCTACTGGTCTGGGGTCCAAGCAGGCCACCCGAAACATAAAATCTCTTTCCAAGATCAGTGTTTTTCCCAACAACACTACCTATGGAAACCGTTAATTCAGGGTGGTCCCAAAACACAAAACTGTCTTCCCCTCGAACCCCAACAGGACGGTCAATCGCAGCCATGTATGCACTGCCGCATGCTGAGTTGTTGCACCTAAAACTGTCAGGTGTCAGGCCATGTTCTTCCAACACTTGTGCAGGAATCTCAAAAGGCCCGGCACCTCTTACCACATTCAGCAAACGATGGCCACTTTCAAGCCGTGTCATTGGAGCGCTTTTGTCAAAGGCTCGGAATTGGATCTCGTCCTTGTCAACGTCGATGATGGCTTTGGCATGTTCCAGCAAGCCGATGCTCAAAAGGTGAGGGACATCCTCTTCGATCACGGTGAGTTTGACGATGCCCGGATGGGTGCCCAGGAAGCATGGGGTCAGAGCTGAGTAAAGTGGTTTCGCCTGACCACCCACCCCAGCAGCAGGAGCTGGTGACTCATCCAAAATCACGGGCTTCAGGCCCTTCTTGGCAAGTTCGACAGTCAACTTCTCAAAGGCATTCTTCCCGATCAAATCCTGGCTGGCTCCAGGGTCCACAATGGCACAACCAGCAGGAATCGTCAGGTAGTTCAGGAAGTTGCACCATGAGGAGCTTGGCTTCGATGAAGTGCCCAGAAAAACAAAGGCGTTCTTGTTGAAGGTCTTGTCGGACTTTGGTTTGTAAGGGTTCTTACAATCCTCCCGCCAATGTCCTTTCTGGCCGCAGTTCCCACATCGCGTCACCTTCTTGAGCTCCTGGATGGAAAGCCTTCCGCGGTGAGCCGCAGGTTTGGGTGGCCGGCTATCCGGCTCATCGAAATGCCGCCTGTCCTTCTTCTTGGCATTCTTCATGGCACGGTTCTCAGACCAGGAGCGCTTCTTTTTTGCCTCCCAGTCAGTCACGAACGACATCGCAGCATCTTCCTCGAGATCCTGCTGGCTGATTGAGTCTAGCATGCCCTGCACCTCGTTCTCCGTCAAGCCGAACTCCTCCTCAGAGACGTCGTCGTCGAGGTGGTCATAGTTCGATCCATGAACGTCGCTTTCAAAGTAGGACGAGTGCTTGTTCTTAGCAATCGGCTCTTCATCGGTGTCCAAGATTCGCAGGGCTTTGAGGACTTGTCGGAAATCCGAACTTAGACCAGTCAGCACTCTGAGGTTCTGCACACTTTGTTTCGACAGGTTGGCCTGCTCTTCTAACATAAAGGCCTTGAGGTCATCAGGTATGTTGATGAAAGGAGTCGCTGACATAAACTGAGCCTCACGACGAAGCGCATACTGTGCCAACGACTCGTCGGAGCGCCTCGGCCCCTCGTATAGAGCAGCCCTGAGCACCCGTCGGCGCTCAGAAGTCTCCTTCTCGCCCGCCAAGATGTCCAGCACGGCAAAGATGCTGTTCAAGTAGCCAGCCCCCTGCAACTCCTGGTCGCTGATGTGGTCAAGCTTCGCCTGGAGGTCGTAGTCGAAGGACTTCAAGACCTTCTCGCTCCTCCTGCGGAGGAGGACATCAGTGTTTGAGTCCCAACGGACCAGTGCCCGCTTCCACAGGCGGTAGTGCGACCATCCACTCCATTGTGGAGGATCTGAAAAATCCCCTCTGGTTGGCTGATGGCCCCAAGCGCCATCTGACCAAGGTTGAAAACCTCTATGCCCTCTCCAACTACTCCAAGGATCCCAGGAATCCCCATTTGATTCCCGGGGCGCCCATGCTGTAGGTGAAGAAGACCACCACCAGCCTTGGTTCCACTGCCGCCACTCTTCTTCTGACCACTCATCACGCTGCTGCACTGTGACTTCCCCACTAGGTAGTCCTTGGCCATCATTCCGCACTTCACTGGGCTGCCCGTCGCCACCCAACTCGCCAGTGAAATCCCGTATGTCCTCCATGCCACCACCGTCCATAGTTAGCAACCGGGGCTCCGGCTACCACTGTTCAAAACAGTGGCAGAGGTAGAAGGCACACGCTTTTCATCCGAGGCGAGCTGGCACAGGTAATGACGGGCAGCTGTTACACACGGCTGCGGATGTGGTCAACTCAAATTGCTGATACTGGCATGCTCATGATCAGATCTAGTGAAATAACTTGACACATGGTTCATCATTTTCTCTATTGAAATGGTCCTGATTTTAGCGCTCCCCATGACGATCGCGCCGGATGCCGAGCTGCTCCATCTCCCAACTTCTATACCCCTTGGACGGTGTTCGAGACGAGCTCGCATCGATCGATTTTGGCCTGGACAAACGGACGACTGCCAGAGCGCCTGGCTCTTGGTGCGGTAAATCCAATGCCATAAACCTACCTTTTGCGGATGGGTAAAACCCCAGCCACCAAAATTCATGTGATTTCGGGGATGGTTTATGGCATTGAATTGGGTTTACCACATTAATGTGGATATAGCTATGGCAAACATTCCGGGTTAAACTTAATTGGTGGCAAATTGGTGGTATAGTTTCTCTGTGCTGCAAAGTGCAAGAATCAAGTTGTATTTTCAGCTGGGTGTGACATGTTTTATCAATCCAAATGCCTCAAAATTAGTGTAAGCAATATCACCCGACCCAATCAAGGTCAACCCAGCAATGCAACCTAACTGGCAGTTTAACCTACATAGTCCGGCACATAAATCAGTTCGATGTTGCTTTTCTCAGGCCGCAAGGTCATGATTCGCCAAGTGATATGATATGCCATGATATGCCGATATGCTATGATATATGCTTTTGACATTTTGCCAAATGGATGTAACTGAAAATTAACTAATCTGAATCTAAACAGAATAGGATATTTCAAACCAGCAATATGAGGCCTGGGTGTGGGCATTTAGTTTCATAGTAGAAAAATACTGATTTTTCCGATCGATTCAGGAGGGGGAGAAGCTAGGAAAGTTCACGTACCGCCCCGGTAGCGCCTGGGCATCGTTAGTTCCTCATCTAATGGCACTCGAGGCTGTAGAGTGGGCCGCACGGCGAAGGTGCCACGAAAGAAGTCTGGCGCAGCCTGCAGGATTTTTTCGGAAAAACAAAAGGCCTTGAATTTCACCATCTCTCTTTCAGTGGGATTTCATGGGATTTCACCATAAGAAATTCTGATTTTAACATGATAAAAAACCATCATTCACAGTATGAAAAATCACCCTTAAATTTCTCTGGTCCATTGATTTCACCTCAGCCATTTGTTCAGGTCTTTAGGGCTGATGATGGCTGATCCTCTGGGATTGGTTGAAGACCTGGGTATTGATTCACCGTTGGCAGCTTTGCAGGAGGAGTACCAAAATGTTCTGGGAAGAAGCCGGCAGTGCCCACAAAAACGGTGACCCATTTGACATGTATTCTCATTATTAGTATTATTGTTTTATTGTAAATATATATATATACAATATATATATACAATATATATATACAATATATATATACAATATATATATATATATACAATATATATATATATATACATATTATATAGATATTTAAAAAAAGTCAGACCCGCAACTAAAGGATTACAGAGCAAGGACCCCGCCCCCAGCGTTTCTGATTTCATGCTCTGGACGGTTCCATGTCTGATCTCTGGGGCCCATGGTCCCACCAGAATGTCCCCAGATTTCGAGGGGTTTGTGCCCAGAAACTATGATTATACGTGGTTATATGTGTGTATGAATCCGATGTATGTACAACTTAGATAGTACTATCTGTATAGTTCGGTCATGTATATCTATAGTCACCCAATTAGAAATTAGTAATAGACACAACTTCAAGAAAAACACATGCCAGAATCAAATGTCCCACTTGTCGGCAGCAAACAAAGGTCGGTAGAGATATGAGATATCATTCATGATTAGATTTGTTCTAGTTGATGGTTTCGCAAACCCTCTTTTCTTTTGAACTACAATGCGGGGCCCCGAGTTCTAAGTTTGTTTATCCAATATAACCACCATTAACTATATAGTTATATCTATCATAAACCATAGTGAAGCCACGTATAAGGATACAAATACATAGCCACCATATGCCACCATCAGTCCCACCATCAATCCGACAGTCCGAGGGGAGTTACCCACACACTCTGGCCTCGACACTACCATGCCCGGGGACGAGGGACACCTCCTGGCGGATTTTCGTTTTTTTTTTCCTGCCTTCTAAGAATGGGAACTTGGATTTCCACCCTAGAAATGCAAGTTGTCTGTTTTCAGTAACCAACTTCTGGGTTTGAAAATGCTTTGAAAATGCTTTGAACCAACAATTTGGATCTGTTATGATCTGTTGCCATGAAAAAAATGTTTCCTCCCCTGGGATACCTTCGATGCTTCGGGGCTCTGCCTTCGTGGTTAAATCACCGGGGTTTGTATGGGAGACATCAAATCACCGCTTTCCGAATTATGCTTATCAAAATAATTTGGAGAGATATAAATATAAATATATATATATGTATATAATAATATCAAAATAGTAATAATAATAAGGAAAAAGGATACAATTATTACTAGTAATAACAGTAACAATCTTAATTACTATCTATCTATGTATCTATCTATCGATCTATCTATCTACTTAGATGGGCCATGGAGTTACGTAAGTTCCCAAGATAAAATATATTACCCAGCAATGTTTGGGGATTACCAAGATTTAACAGCATTTACCTGATATATCATTATCCATATATATAATTATATATATATATATAATATATGTATACAGCATTACCCATGTCGGCCCTAAATGGGTTTGACTGAACATAGACATAACATAGAGTACAAACGGATTATCTTCATTTTCTCATTATTCAATGGCCATGAAAAGCAGGTGATTACTACATTTTCAGACACAGGCAAAAGACATATTCTTGACTAGTGAGATGCCATCATATCCAACTTTAAGTCCCCAAACAAAATTCCGATTCTATACCTAAATAATTCCGTGGTTGATGGTTGTACAACCCATCCCAAGAACATGCTCTTCATCTCAACCAATCATCCCATTGATACGGTTGAACGTTTGAAGAACATTGGAAACCACCAGCCAGATTACATGGCAAAAAAACGCATGTTAGAAATTATTGCCATTTCATTTATCGCTATGATATGTTACAATCCCTATGGATCCAGCCGTACCTTTTGAGGACGTATTTGTTGGGTGATTTTGGGTGTTAACTACCTTCTCAGGTAGCATTTGGATCCATAGGGATTACACACACATATATGTATGATTATATGTATATATATATACAATGTCTACATGCATTGCATAGATATGATTATATATGTATAAGCTATTGTCTCTAATTATCACTACTATGCTAACTATGGTAAATGGTAAATTAATGTAAATGACCTGTTTGATAAAAAATGCGTTCTTACCACCGACAATTACCATCACTGCCATCACTTTGATCCTGGGCGAAGTGTTGCGGAGAGGGCAGCACAAGACTTGGGCTTCCCAGGGAGGAACTGGCCACAGCGCTTGGCACGGCACGGAGCTTCAGCAGCTCATCGCAGAGCTCCTGGTGATGGCGTTCCGAAACAAATGGAGGTTTTAAGGGGAACAAAACATGAAAAAAAAATGAAAAACGACTATAAATGTGGTTGAAAAGGGGTATAAAAGATATTCTTGCGATGTTGCTGTGTTTCAAAAAGATTGTTTTGTTTTTTAGTGTTTCATCACCTGCCCGGCTCTGGCAAGCTTTGTTTTGCATCATCCAGAAATTGTGGCGTAGGGATGCGTAGGGCGTAGGGGTGAACAATATTTGGCCTTGATTTCCATTGTTGTGGATGTAACAAAGCCCCCCTTCAGGATCAACAATGCCCTGTTCACCGTTCTGGTTGCAATAAGCTTTACCTTCTATCGTTGACAACTCGTTTCTGTTTCTTATCTTCTGGTAAACTAACATGGCTATGGACAATGGCTCATTTATACATGATTTGCCTTCTAATTAAACCTGATGACCCTGCATACCTGCGTAAACCTACGACAGAGTGTGTGTGATCATTTTTGTTGTTCGAATCTTCATCTACACTGCTTGTCCTGCATGGAATGAAAGGCTCCCTGCACTCCGTCGCACCACTTGCCATGGTGCTGTTCCAGCCTGGCAGGGAAAACTCTACCCTTGGATCCTCATGCTTCACCAAACTTGGCTTGCTCTCAGGCACACAAAGGTGGCAATGGAAAATCACCCATTTATAGATGATTTCCCCATGAATAACTATGTATTCATTATGGCAACATTTCGCATAAAAGCATAACACGTAATTTATAGATGATTTTCCCATGAATAACTATGTATTCATTTTTGCAACATTTCGCATAAAAGCATAGCAAGTCATTTATAGATGATTTTCCCATGAATAACTATGTATTCATTTTTGCAACATTTCGCATAAAAGCATAACAAGTCATTTATAGATGATTTTCCCATGAATAACTATGTATTCATTTTTGCAACATTTCGAAAAAACACATAACAAGCATCATAACCTCCATTTATAGATGATTTTCCCATGACAACGCCATTTGTAGTGAATTATCCGCTCACACCGGAGGGTACAAATCGTTATTGGTGCATTTCAAACCCTATTCAACTGGTTGCGGGGCCATCAATGTCAGGAAGGGATCGGGAACCTTGGTTCACTAAGTCTACCTGGGCTTATCCGATTTCGGAATTGCTCATCATCACGGCTGTCCAATGTTCAATCAGCTTGGCCAACCTATTAAATCTGGATAGCCTGCAAGAGCCGCAAGAGTGTATGTTTTAGCTACTATTTACCTATGGCACAATGGCAGGAAACCATCCTTCACCGGTGGATCAAGATATGTTCTTGAGTCCTACTGATGAACCTGAGTGAATTTCCGTGTTTCCGAATGTGAAGTCCCAGTGGTTTACAAAGCCACACAATCCTTCGTGTCTCGCAGCCTGAGAAGCTGATCCTGGGCCATTTTGGCCCGCGCGCGTAGGAGTTCGATCTCCATGAGGACCGTCCAAATAACAACTGGGTCCGTGTTATGTGCTTGAGCCACTGACGGTGGAATGGGCCCAACCTGGCCTGGAATAGCTACTCCATGAACTCTGACATTTTCAGACCACGCATCAACTGCTAGAAGCCAACTAATTGTGGGAAGTTATTTTTGATGCCAGAACGCAACATCTACATCTGGTGCCTACCGCCATCTGTTCGCGAAATCTATGGATCAATGGATTGGTTGAAAGAAAAAAACTAGAGGAAATGACAACACATATTGGCTTTTCCTGCAGGGGAAGGAAAAAACGTAAATGCCTTTATGCAGTTGAACGATCATCATGTCATTCTCAACATCCATGACCATCCAATCCAACCCCGGGCGAAGCAGGGCTCTGGGGTCCGGAACATCATAAAGAATCTTGAAGCAATCTCCGGATTGCAAGATCACGGCCCAATAGCGCAGGCCTCACACCAGGTCACCAGCTCCTCAAAACAGATTACAATGGCTGCGGATCAGCAGGATAGGTGCAGAATCAATGCTTAAAACTATAAGAAACCAGGAAACCACTACCCGGAATCAAACATGGCACTGGAAAATCACCTAATTTACAGAAATGATGATGTCATGAATAAATGCCAATTTAGTTCGGAGATTTCCCAGCCCGCATGTTTGATAACAACCGACATGGGCCGACCTAAGAATATAATACAAAGTGGGGCCAACTATAGCTATACAATGATGTCATAAGCTGTTTCATGACCCCATCATACACCACCCAATTACTTCCATATATGACATGTATCTGGTAACCCCCAAAGAGATAGGAACGTGAGAAACCTGGAAATATGATCCATCCCGGAAACACGTGTCGATCCGATCTTTTTGGGGATTGCTACAGGATGGGCCCCCCCAGTTATAAGTTGATTTATAAACCATTATAAAAACCAATTAAAACATATATCATATATCATGACCCCCATGAAAACTAATTCGTTATATCAACCATAAACATCCATAAGCCATGAATTCAGCCACTGAAATGAGGCGTTTCTGAACGCGATCCTCGACTGTGGACCCCATCCCCCTGAGCCAGTGCCACGCAGGCCACGCCTGAGCCACCGAAGGTCATGTGAAGTTCATCGCCTGTATTTGGTCTCAACTTGTCCCATTTAACAGGGGCCTGGCGGTTGAAAAACCCTTCGGTCGTTTAACTGGACAAAAAACATGAAAAGTGGAGGGTTTAACTGTTTTAACGGATAACTGCAGGTTTTAAGGGGATATATGACATATCCTATAAAAGCTATAAATAGATGTTTTATATAATAGGTTTTAATGGGAACAGAATGTACGGCTGGGGCAGTTTCCGTTGCCATGCTTGATTGCCGGAGGGTAACAACTGTGTACATGGTATATAGCCTACATAATGTTCAAGCGATATTTTATTTCAGTGCTCTTAAACTCGATTGCTGAGTGTCCAACTGTAATTTCAGTGACACTGGATCTAATCAAGGCATATGCAGAATTACAATAGTGAACATGATGACAAAAAGGGTACTGGGAAACTCCTACATGTGGTAAACCCAATCATATGCTACTCCATTCCAGCAACCAACCATACACACACAAAAAAAAAACATATAGTAGCGGCATGCATCTATCTATCTATATATCTATCTATCTACCTATCTATCTATCTATCTATTTATCTATCTATCTATCTATCTATCTGTCCATCAATCTATCTATCCATCTATCTATCTATCTATTTATCTATCTATCTATCTATCTATCTATACAAGTTCGGAACCCCAGTGAGGGATTGGTTTCTATTAATTGGGTTTACCTGCTTAAAAACAAGCATATTTACACTTCAACCAACAGAAGCAGGGATGTAACCTGCTTAAGGCAATCCCAATGAACAAGCGTCATCTTTTGGTTGACCTGAGTGATATTTGAGAGGCATGTTTCCCCTGAAACACTCTGCCATTTCCATGCTTAAAGGTATTACCCACCCACCACCCCATGCTGGTTTCAAAGCTACTAGTTTTATGTCTTCCTGCTTCGGGATGAGGGGGGCTGAGGGGCCCCATAATGAGCTGGCACTATAGTGAGCTAAGTTGGTTTATAACTAGGCTTCCTGGCCATAACCAAAGCAATATTTAAAACAAGTTACACAGATGGGACTATAAACAGTATACACCGACAAACATAACTGGGATGGTCCGGTCCGCTTTGTTCAATGTTCATGTACCGGCTGTCCATGTTTGCTTTCCTTGCATCGCCAATGTTTGTTGGCTATGTCAAATTTCGTCGATAAAGCCACCATGTGATTCGATACGCACCTCCACATGCGTCCTGGTCTAGGAAACAAAATGGACTTTGAATGGTTCATCCAAACCCCTCAATCAGTCACTATATATCAAAATCAATATACAATAATATACATACATATAAAGTATGCATACAAATATAAGGAAGTATATAAGGATAGTATATAGGTATAAAATTGGTCAAGTAGGGTTGGTCAAGTCCATTTCAAACGAAATATGACCGGTTTGTGCCCCGGAAACTCGCCTTGTGCTGCCAGCACCTCGGTCATCTTAGCAGTACTGGGGCTCTTTAAGCCGATTGAGAGGGATAAAGAGCCCAATCCAAGACTTACCATCTGGTTATTTAACATAGCCATGGAAAATGGCCCATTTATAGATGGTTTACCTATTGAAAATGGTGATTTTCCATGGCTATGTTAAATTACCAGAGGGTATAAGGGCATGCAATGAATGCAACCAACATCAACCATGGTCTTCAACCAAGGGATGGCGATTCTCAACGCGTCAGCTTCCAGGTAGACTCCCGGGTCTGAGGGTGATGCTGATTGACCTGTGATGGTGACAGGGATAAAACATGAGGATAAAAATAATCCCATGAAGCACTCCACTTGTCATTTACTTTGGTTGTTTATGACACATATATGTATAATATATATATATATATATGTGATTTATATGTGTGTGTATATGGAGGTTTCCGAAAATGGGGCTACCCCTAAATCATTCAGTTTAAGGTCATTTCCCTTAAGAAATAAACCAACCAGCGAGCTTGGGCATCCACAATTTACAATCCCCGTTGATGTCGACATCGCTAAGTTTGCGGCTGCGCCGATACTGAAGCTCAGGAACAGCAGCCGCATCCCCTGATGGGTCCATGGAGGACACTATACCCTCTGGTAAACAAACAGTTTGCTATTGAAAATGGCCATTTATAGTGGATTTTCCCATGAACGGTGATTTTCCATAGTTATGATAATTATGTTGTATGATAATTATATTCCTGTTGTATGATAATGATATTCCTGGATAATACATTATGTGATTATATGAAAAATATACCCATATATATATTGATACTCCTATGGGATAATGGGTATAAACATGTTGTAAGATAATTTATGGGATGAACTAGTCGTCATGATTTTCGATTATGGGAAACATAGATAAACATACTGATGTTAATCATCTATACTTCAAAATTACCATCGGAATGTTATATACGGTAACCGCCAAGACAGTTAGAAAAGTAGTTCATCATTGTTTTAGCAGGACTTGACTGTTCTGTCTATTTGGGGACGACTATAGTGACTATATATTCACATTTTAATTATCAATGTTATAAACACAATGTTAACATATTTACTGTATGTATTTAAATATATATATATATATATATGTGTGTGTTAAATATATTTCAATATACATTTAATATACATGCAATATCATTCAATGATCAACAAATACAGTACATAAATGTAAATGTGCCAACACAATTAGAAAAAGACAATAGTTATATTATACAATATATGGTTATATATAGCCATACAATATTTCAAAAAAAATGTTATACTATGTCAAAGCATCTGATCAGTTGTGTTTTCCCGGTTCCACTGGAGGCCAACGGCGCTAGCAAATCCAACTTGTTGCGGCGCACGAAGTTTCATACTGCTCAGAAAACAAGGTCCTTACCCTCTGGTAAACTAACATAGCGAACTGGAAAGATCCACCATTTTTCATCGGAAAATCCACTATTTCTATGGCCATTTTCAATAGCAAACTGTTTGTTTACCAGAGGGTAAGTTCTCTCTGTCATTGCCTTGTATTGCCTTCAGATTTGGTGGAGTGGGAATCTCTGGTAGATCATTTTCTCCATGGAACGAACAAAACTGGTTTTCCATGGCCATCTTTCCACATGGACGCTGCACTGAATTTATCCTGACCGTCACCAACAGCTATGTGCTTCGAAGATATCATCAAATATCCGGCATGTCAAATAAGGCTTCTATCAAAGATATCCAAGCATGCGCAAACAAAAATACATAGGAACAACATGGAAAACTTATTGGATAGGACCGATAGGAACAAGGATTAGTTGGTTCATGTCAGTTCGGCACTTAGTCTTGTAATGTCCTGTAAATTGCCCCTCCGTCATAAGTTGGTTCCAATCAGCTGTCAGCTATAAATCCCATGATGCAACCTGCTTCATCCCATCATATCCCATCTCGCCTGCGCAGTAGGGCTGCACCTGAGGCGGGGACCCCGTGTGGTGCCCCAGTTCGTTTGCTAAGTTGGTATATAACTCCAATAACTATGGTTGATGGTAGATATATTGACATACTTACTATGGTTTATAAACCAACTTATAACTGGGGCACCACCTTGTACAAAGAGGGATTTCTATTCACTTAGATTGGGACTGTCATCCACTATTTGGGATTATTTGGGGATAAACTGCGATCATTGTAGTTTATTGTGCATTTCCCCGTGCCATCATTTGTGGCAGGGTGAGATTTTATAGAACGTAAAAATCCTATGGGACGACTATGGAAGATGAACGGTTTCAACCATCAGGAGTGCTAAACTTGGTGGCATGACACACCGGATCCTTCAGCAATTTTCATTCAATCGACGTATCCAGCCAAGAAGTCACAAAGCTTCAACCATCCTGAAAGAATACAT